GCAGCAGCAGCGAGAGAACCCGGGTCCGGCGTCCCTGCGGAGCAGCAGCAGCAGCAGCAGCAGAAATGGCCGGAGCACTCGATGCTGCTGCAGCACACGGATGAGCAGCAGCAGCAAGAGGAGCAGCGACGGCAGCAGCAGCGCAGGCAGCAACGCAGGCAGCAGCAGCTGCTGCTGCAGCTGGCAGAGGAGGAAGAACACAATGGAGAGGTCCAGCTGAGAGACCACGAGGTGCAGCAGCAGCTGCAGCAGCAGCAGCAGCAGGAAGAGGAGCAGGAGCTGCAGCAGGGGGAAGAGGAGCTGCAGCAGGAGAAAGAGGAGCAGGAGCAGCAGGAGGAAGAGGAGCTGCAGCAGGAGGAAGAGGAGCTGCAGCAGGAGGAAGAGGAGCTGCAGCAGCAGCAGGAAGAGGAGCTGCAGCAGGAGGAAGAGGAGCTGCAGCAGCAGGAAGAGGAGCTGCAGCAGCGGGATGAGGAGCAGCAGCAGCAGGGTGAGGGGCAGCAGCAGCAGGAGCAGCAGCAGCAGGGTGAGGAGCAGCAGCAGGAGCAGCGACTGCCAGAAGAGCAGCAGGAGCAGCAGCAGGAGGAAAGGGAGCAGCAGAACCAGCAGCAGCAGCAGCAGCTGCAGAAGCAGCTGCAGCAAGAGCGGAAGGAAGACAAGCAAGAGCAACAGCAGCAGCAGCAGCCGCAGCAGGCCGGCGAAGTGCACAGTGGCAGCGGGGCAGCAGCAGCAGGGGAAACAGAGTCGGAGGCAGATAAGGAGGCAGCAGCAGCAGCAGCAGCAGCAGCAGAAGCAGAGCAGGAGCAAGAAAGAAGACCCACAGTTAGGGGACTTTTTAGAAAGTTGAAGCAGGGTTTCAGGTCTGGTGTGGAGATGATGAAGCAGAAGGTCCAGTAAACCCTAAACCCTAAACCCTAAACCCTCAAGCGGGGGGGCGGGGTGGGGGCGCAGCCCGTGCTGCTGCTGCTGCTGCTGCTGCAGCAGCAGCAGCAGCAGGAAGGCG